CACAGGACTAGTCACAAGACCAGACACAAGACCAGACACAGGACTAGTCACAAGACCAGATACAAGACCAGACACAGGACTAATCACAAGACCAGACACAGGACTAGTCACAAGACCAGACACAGGGCTAGTCACAAGACCAGACACAGGACTAGTCACAAGACCTGTCCTGGAGGGCAGGGCTTCTTCAACTGGTCAAAATACACAGCAGAAATTTGATAAAGCATAAATGGAGGAAGAAGATCAATTCTGTGGTATTTGTAAGATTTTTTGTTTTTTACGGGGGGGGGGGCAGGCAAAGGGGGGCCAATGTTGCCCTCGCAGTGCCCATATCTGTACCAAGCAAGATGGGTGATTATTTAGTTTTTATTAAATTTAAATCTGACTTTTATATTAGTTTTAGAATCGGAAGCATGTTGGAATAATGAACTATTCCAAATCAAGTAAATTTAACTATATATCTTTGATTAAAGTTGCCTAAACAAACTTTAACATTGTCTAAACCAAGATGAAATAGTTGCCCATACAGTATAGCAATACTTCAAATCCCAATAAAATTGAGAGAAAATTATAGATGTTCTCTGGATGCTCAACAATGGTAAACTCAATTTTACTGACAAATGTTTAACGCCTCCAAAACTATATTATAGGCCTATTTGTTTCACGTAAATCTGGATCTGGATCAGAAACCCCAAAGCTAGTATTGCTCTTTACGTTAGATGGTTTCCTTTGTCAGTGAACCGTCAGATTACTGATTGCAATCCAGATCTTTGTGAGACAAACAGGCCATGGCCTCGCTCCTGGTCAGTTTCAAGTTTCAGACACTGCTCTGTTTTATTGTTCTCATCCTCCGAATGCACTGGACAGCTCAATTCACATACCATCGCACATACATCTGACGAACCGACGAATATGAAATATCACTGTTTTCGAGGACAACACGTTTTCAGTTAAGAAGTTGTCGCAACCCTCTTTTTAAGATACAAAATTGGTCTTTGAAATCATTTCCCCATTGGGATTTTGGCTCTATGAGCAACACTTTGGTTGAATACTGCTGTTGAAACCTATTGGTCAGTTTGTGAGATAAACTCTGAAAGTCACCAGAGCGGTCAATTCGCCAGTTCATCAGATGTGCGACGATACACTGTAGTCCAGCTCAGTGGAGACTTGTGTGCAAGAGCTGCATGGAGGAAGTTCATCTTCAAAAGTAGGCTGAGTGTTGGAAAAACAGGCATTCAATACACAAATCTCTCTTAATTCACAGAAATTAGGTTGAAGGTTTTAAGAAAGGCTAAATCTGTGCCACACCATGTTTCTTTAAAATAATGTTTTTCTTCCATTTTATCAGATGATGAAAATCCTACGATAGAATGCCCAGGTGACATTGAAGTAGATGCCGACATGGGAGAGAACTTTGCCACCGTGGACTGGTTTCCACCCAATGTGACTGATAACTCAGGGGAATCCATAACACCGATGCTGAGCCATTCTTCAGGGGATCAGTTCCCATTTGGTCCAACCGTAGTGATTGTCAACGCCACAGACTCTCATTCAAACTTTGCTTCATGTAACTTCACTGTCAATGTTCTAGGTAGGTCTGTGATCAGTTACCAGCATATTTGTAGCAGAGACATCCCTGTGACATTCCATTCAAGATGTTAAGAAGAAGAAATGGCCAATTTCATCTGATCTTGTACTCCTTTGTTGAAATTTTCATTAACCTTAATGAGATAATTCTGGAATAAATATAGATGGAGAGGCTACCACTCTGGATCTGAACATGGCCTTGGAAATAAAAACAATTACTGGGAAGACCTGTTTTAAACCAAACAACCTTGTAGAGGGAGAATGTTTATTATAGCAATAGTTTCTTCAGTTTAAACCCTGTTTATTTGCAAGTTCTTTTGAAGTATTGATACTGAACGTGACCTTTGAGGAAAGAAGTTATTTTGTTTTCCTTTTTTCCTCAAAAATAGGCTTGTTTAGAAGGGTTTCCCACTGGGGATTTTATTGTGAGATCTAAAAAAGTGCTTGGTACATGTAAGTAACGTTACTGTCTAGAAATAGTGTAATTTTTTTTCTCTTTCACTTGCAGATAATGAGCCTCCTATCATTATGTGTCCAGCCAATCAAACTAATGCCACTGATTTCCGTGCTGCTGATGTCACACTTCCACTGCCTGATGCAGTCTCGGCTTCTGACAACTCAGGCCAATATAACATCACCATTGATGTCGCTGGTGCAACATATCGTGTCGGTGACAGTGTGACCCTTGACCTGGCTACTGGTGAACATTTACTGCAGTACACGATTTTTGATGCTGCCATGAACAATGATACTTGTGACATGTACATCACTGTGATTGGTAGGTGCCGGGCTTAGTATTGATCTGTATGTAAAAAAATAATAAAAATCCTCCAAAGACCCCTTGTTATTAAGACAGATGCAATTCTCAAGCTGAAGGCAAAGCTAAGTCAGCGCTGCATTGACCTTTTTGGTGCCGTTTTGACATACAGATTTTAGTATAAGGGTAATTCCAGAAATTAGGGGTCCAAAAGTGTGACATTTTTGTGTCCCTGTTACATCTGACCTTTGTTATTTGACATGGAAATATCACTGGAATCGATTTCAGATTATTACCATTTGTTTGGCACGTAATTTGCATAAAAAATTAATTCATCACTCCTGGAAATTAGAAAATGTGTTCTAAACTTACAAAATCTTTTGTCAGTGTTACAGGGACACAAACGAAATTGGACCCCTAATTTCTGGAATTACCCATAAAAACCAGAGTGTTTCGAAAGTAGGCTTGAATATGACATTGTCATGTCTATTGGAAAAAGCTTTGGGGCCAGTTAAGACTGGATTTTACATAACACTTCCCTGGTAGTCATTGGCTTTGAAAGGTGTGCATTGCCCTTCATCTCTAGGACACTTGATTCTAGATATATGGAGCATCCACCCACATGGTTATGTACCATATACCTGCCGTACGGGAATAAGAAGTTTCTTACGACGACAGACAGATTCTGCAACCATTTGAACAATTCCTGGACTTTATTTGGTCTTATTCTGAATTGTTTCTGTTGTTAATATGTTCATGAAATAGAAGTCTTGCTTTTAAGCTCCGCACTTACCATTGACCATGTGTTTGATTTTCAGACACTGAAGATCCTCAAATTATCTGCCCTTCACTTGGACCTGTTCGTACTGATCCTGGCTTGGACACTGCCAATGTGACCTTTGACTCCGCCAATGTGACTGATAACTCCATGCTGTCTATTACACCTGTAGCCAATCCAATGTCAGGTTCAATCTTTTCTATTGGTGACACTTCAGTACAGTTCAATGCTACAGATGAGAGCGGGAATACTGCGTCCTGTATGTTTACAGTGACAGTACAAGGTGAAATAAAACAACTCTTCAATTGCAATTCTGTCGAGGATTACATAAAACTATAAATGTTTAGGAAATTACATGAAACATTGGAAGAATATGTATTTGGGTTTTTGGTATTAATAATATGAGATGGCATTGAGATAAAAGGATCCTTGATATTTTGGAAGCGGCCATTTTGTTATGTCTTCCATATT